AGCCATTTTTGCTGCGGCGCCCGGGGAGCAGTTGGGGGTTCGGTGCCTTGCTCAAGGGCACCTTAGTCGTGGTATTGAAGGTAGGAGAGAGCGCTGTACATTCACTCCCCCCACCTACAATCCCTGCCGGTACGAGACTCGAACCCGCAACCTTGGGGTTACGAGTCCGACTCTCTAACCATTAGGCCACGAGTTCCCCTAATTATTCGTATAATTATTAATATAAGACGCGATTAATCGCGTTTACAGCCAAACGCCGTCAAATACGGCGTTTTAACCAGTATTTGCGCCGCAAAATACGCCGTTGTGATTACAAACGAAAATACGTCAACGATGCCGTATCTGACGGCGTTTTAGTGTGCATGAAAAGCGCCGCGTTTTACGCCGTTCATATTGCCATATGACGGCGTAAAAAACGCTGTTTTGGTTGCACAGAGCGCGCGTCATTTACAGCGTTTTGCTCATAGTATAATGAGCCACGCCCACAGATTTCCACAGCCAGTAAGTTTGAACGGTTTTCACCCAATCAATGGTAAACTGAGTCAGACCAGACCAATTCAGCACAGATCATTTGTGGTAATCAAATTTGCATGAGTTATTCGCCATTAAATAAGGAGAAAAACAGTTCGCTTTAAGATGGACAGAAGAAACTTCATTTTACGCTGCAAGCGAACATTAAATGTTTGCACTCGCCAGTTAACAGAGGATGCTGGACCCAATGTGCTTCAGTCAACTTTAGTGAGGTAAGGATTGCTTTCTCACTTTCTCACTTTCAAATCGATGCTCTGTTATGCTGGCATTATGAAAATATACTACAGTATTTATTATAGTAAACTATTGTAAATTGTAGTATACTGTATAGTATTTACAACACGTTGTTAATGAATGCTACAGCATACAGTATTAACTATAGTGAACTGATAAACTGTAGTATTTAGTTGTTACTACAGTAAACTGTAGTGTATTGTAGTATAATGTACTCTATAGGTGTAGAAAACTTAGTACAATTTTGGGTAAAGTAATTTGTTTATATTACTATAGTTGTTATATTACCACAACAACTATAGAATTACCACAACAATTATTTGAAATACTTTACTATAGTATGGTTCAAAAACACTATAGTATTTACTATTAATTACTATAGTATTTTTCATGGGTAACATTACAGTTGAATGAGTCAGTTGGTGGCGGCATTTTTCTCTGCATCTGAAAGTAAAAAAAAAGACATTTAGTGCTTCTTTAGCTTAATATTCACTACTATTTCATGTTATTGTGTTTCAGACTGGAAACAATGCAGAGAAGCTTTGAATGGGTAAGAGGGAGGCTGATCAATGTGCCGGCAGCGGATCGGTTACTCCGTGATATAGCGGACTATATAGCAGAAGTTAACACACGTAGGCAGCATGAACAACAACGTAAGTAATTAAAAAGCTTTGCATTTTGCAATAGGAGACTGTTTAGACATTATTTAACAGAATCTCTTTGACTATACATTAAATGATTAAAAATCTATCTGTATCTGTAGTGATAGTACTGTTTTGTGTAAGATAAGTAGTCATGGGTATTAAATTGCCTTGATTAGTTTTTTTGTAGTAAAACTTGTAGCAAAGATCACTGATCCACATAGTGGACAGACATGGTTATTACATTAGCTGTTCTGACAAGAGCATTAAACATTTTATTCCCTTCATATTGTGTTTCTACATAAACCACTCTTTGTGACTTATAAAACTTGATAGGGTTACAATTATTTATCATTGTTATTATTGTTGCAGCCAGTTCCAGTTATCAGGCTCCACTTACCTGTAGTGGAGGTAGAGGAGCGCCCCATTACAGCATCACTAGAGAGCAACTTTCTGGTTTTTCTCTTCCTTCAATAGTAGAGATTCTGCAAGTGTCTTTGGCTACAGTCAAGCGACGCATGAAGTAAGTTGCATCAAGATTATTTCATTTTAAACTATTTGATGTGCATAAAATTAACATTGTATTTACATTTTGCATTTGCATTCAACTCATGCATTGTTTTCAATTCATGCATTCCCTGGGTATCAAACCCATGACCTTTGCATTGCTATAGCGCCATGCTCTACTATTTGAACTACGAGAACATCTCTAGGCAATGATCAACATTATCTTGATGATAAACAGTAGTTATGTTTGTATTCGTATTTGTTTCAGGAGGTTCAATTTGAATTGCTCTGTGACATATTCTGATGTAACTGATGATGCCCTTGATGACATGATCAAAGATATTGTGGCTGGGAATGATCAGCTTGGATCTGAGGCTGTCAGGGCACAGTTACGGGCAGGTGGAGTACGGGTGCATCAATGTGCCGGCAGCGGATCGGTTACTCCGTGATATAGCGGACTATATAGCAGAAGTTAACACACGTAGGCAGCATGAACAACAACGTAAGTAATTAAAAAGCTTTGCATTTTGCAATAGGAGACTGTTTAGACATTATTTAACAGAATCTCTTTGACTATACATTAAATGATTAAAAATCTATCTGTATCTGTAGTGATAGTACTGTTTTGTGTAAGATAAGTAGTCATGGGTATTAAATTGCCTTGATTAGTTTTTTTGTAGTAAAACTTGTAGCAAAGATCACTGATCCACATAGTGGACAGACATGGTTATTACATTAGCTGTTCTGACAAGAGCATTAAACATTTTATTCCCTTCATATTGTGTTTCTACATAAACCACTCTTTGTGACTTATAAAACTTGATAGGGTTACAATTATTTATCATTGTTATTATTGTTGCAGCCAGTTCCAGTTATCAGGCTCCACTTACCTGTAGTGGAGGTAGAGGAGCGCCCCATTACAGCATCACTAGAGAGCAACTTTCTGGTTTTTCTCTTCCTTCAATAGTAGAGATTCTGCAAGTGTCTTTGGCTACAGTCAAGCGACGCATGAAGTAAGTTGCATCAAGATTATTTCATTTTAAACTATTTGATGTGCATAAAATTAACATTGTATTTACATTTTGCATTTGCATTCAACTCATGCATTGTTTTCAATTCATGCATTCCCTGGGTATCAAACCCATGACCTTTGCATTGCTATAGCGCCATGCTCTACTATTTGAACTACGAGAACATCTCTAGGCAATGATCAACATTATCTTGATGATAAACAGTAGTTATGTTTGTATTCGTATTTGTTTCAGGAGGTTCAATTTGAATTGCTCTGTGACATATTCTGATGTAACTGATGATGCCCTTGATGACATGATCAAAGATATTGTGGCTGGGAATGATCAGCTTGGATCTGAGGCTGTCAGGCACAGTTACGGGCAGATGGAGCACGGGTGCAGAGAGACAGAGTGAGAAAGAGTTTAATTCGAACAAGCCCCAGGGCAGCCGCACTAAGGGCAATGGCACAAAGAAGACCACAGAGGCGATTGTACAGTGTTGCTGGACCAAACTCCCTTTGGCACCTTGATGGCAACCACAAATTGATAAGGTAGATATACACATTACATGGCTATGCTTTTTTGTTTTATACATGTAACATTTAATAAAGTATATATTATAAAAAAGTATTCATGAACTTCCCATTATTAAAATATTTGTTATAGGAAGATGTACTGTAATGTATTTTCTTTTTGTTCTTAATGTCTTCTATTATAACAGCGTTTCTGTGTTGTTTTAGATGGAGAATTATCATTCATGGTGGTATAGATGGCTTCAGTCGTCTCATAGTCTTTCTCCGTGCCTCAAGCAACAACCGCAGCAGCACTGAAATGAACTGCTTTTTGAATGCTGTGGCCAGGTATGGAGTGCCTTCTAGGGTCAGAACAGATCATGGCGGAGAAAACAATGATGTCTGTGATGATGAACATTTTCAGGGGCTCAGAGAGAGGCAGTGCTATCAGAGGCAGCAGCACTCATAACCAGTGTATTGAGAGGCTCTGGGGTGACCTGTGGTGGGGATTGACTAATGTTTATTATCTCTTCCACTTCCTGGAGAGAGAAGGTATAGTGGACATAGACAATGAAATGCATCTCTGGGCTCTTCATTGTCTACTTGCAAAGGATCAACAGGGACATGACTGCCTTCATCCGACAATGGAACAGCCATGGGCTGAGAACTGAAAGACATCAGACCCCAATGCAGATTTTTGTCCGAGGCTGCCTGGAACAACAAGGACAAAGAACCACAGCAATGCAAGAAATCTTTGGCAGAAGAGCTGGGCCAGCAGATGAAACTGTTGTTCAAGGACCATCTGAACAAGAAGAAACGACATCAAGAATGCAGGGGGCAGCAATGGTTGACTGGCCAGACAGAATACCAGTACCACAGAATCACTACACTTTGGACAATGCAACCTTGGAGCAACTTGTTGCACAATTTAATCCACTTGGTGGGACACAAGCAGAACTTGGATTAGACATCCTTTGCAATGTTTTGTCTTTTTTGACATCTTTACATCAATCATAGGAAAGGACGAGTTCATCCCAGAATAGAACTTAAGGCTGCATGTTATGTTTGACTTTCATTAAATGGGCAAAACATAGAGCTAACCTTTCAAGTTTGTTTAAGTATGTCCCATTATACATTATTACTTTCATGTTTTTATTTCTTGACTCCAAAAGAACTGTGTCCAAAACATAACATGAAATTTGGTCACCTTTTTACATTTGTATGGACCCAAATAAGTGCTGCTTGCGGCTATGACTTTAATAGTCATTATTTTAATATGTAAATATGTTAAGATGTTGTAGTAGTCATTTTAATTTAAGGTCATGTGCATCAATGTCAATGTTAAGGTCTTCTGGAATGCTGGTGAAATAAAAGTGTTGAATGTTATTGGTACAGTCGATGAGCGCTATATAGCAAACATTACTAAAATGATTTTTTTTTTTTAAATACGTTGATCTCACTAAATAAATATATTGCTGTTTTATTTCTTTAAAACCAATAAATGTTAATATTTTGTGAATAAATCATGTGGGCTTGTTTGGAACACGTGCGGGCTTAAATGGTGCCAAAGTAGCCTACCAAGCTTTGCCACACAGATTTTAATAGGTGGTTAGCTATAATAATTCAGGCAGTGTGACAATGATGTAGGCTAGTAGGTAGTTGTGAGTGCAGGTGCGAAGTAAATTAATATTTATGAGATAATATTTCATGGGTAGGTTGCAGAATTTATGCCTACACAAAAGAAAGCTCTGTCTAGGCTCTGCCAGAAAGCGCACCCTATTATTTTACAAAAGCAATTTGGAACTTTTTTGTTGTTATTGTGGAAATGCACAAAATAAAGCAGACATTTATATTCATTTTCTCTGTTACCACAATGCAAGGGATCCGAGAAGTGCAGTGTTGCGCTTTATATGAGATGTATATTTGCAAGAATTGTAGCCTATGCAACAGCCAAACAGTATGAAGAAACGTTATTGTGACTAATTTGCAGAGCGGTATAAACTCTTAGTCTGCGTGATGGGACACAGGCAGTAAAGACAGGCTGAGTGGAAAAGTGGTGTTTCAGGGCCGCTCACGCACAAATGCATAAGCTCTTTATTTTATTTTTTTCACGAACAAAAAAATACGAAAAATCTAGCTTAATTTTCGTTCCGTTTTTCAAACAGAACGACATAATAATAATAATAATAATGATAATAATAATAATAGCCTAATAATACTAAAATCAAACAGTTTGTCATTTCTCTTTATTTCTTTTTGTTCGTATTTCGACTTGGTGTTAAATCAAACTTAAGTCATTCAAATAAAGAAATATTCCAAGCCCAGAGTCGATTATTCAGAAATAACCGGTTAGATCTCATTTTAAACAAGTCATGTCCTCTGGGTCTGAGTGCAATTATTGGATAGCATTATATTGTAGACAGATTGGAGATTAATCCTGATAAACATGCCGCTACAATTAAAACCATTACATTAAAATACATTTAAACAGCGTATTTCTATTAGCCCTCCTGCAGATCCTCATCAGGACTGTGGCGACAGCAGCGCGGACAAGTGCTCTGTAACCATTCTATAATGGGAAAAACACATCTTTTAACGACGTAACCTCGTTATTACAAGAAAATATGTCGTTTTAATAACGACATAACATCTCGTTATTACACATAACTGAGCGGAAAAAAATAATATGCGTGTGGCAGCAATGTGTCACCGCAGGACTTGAACCAGTGATCGTGGTGGGTCAATCACTAACAAAAAGGCTAAGGACCATTGCCTCCAACTTCTGTAGCTGCACAGCTTTTACACATTCTCTGACTTACGTTACCCTATACTATGAACGATTTCTTGTTTTGGAAATTAAATTACTCAAAGATAATATAGCCTATAATGTCCTGTTATTTATGTACGTAAAAGGTATTTGTGTAATAAATTATATAAATACAATGGGGTTGGTATGCTAAAATGCTGTCCATGTAATATTAATAATTACATATAAGTAGGCTATGATAAAGACGTGGAATCGGCCTATGTTCAATGTTAGTAGAGATGAAAATATACAAAAAGTTACTTTGTACATAAATATTTCCTATCAGTTCACAGCACTTCTTCCGCTAAAACGATCTGTGGTACATTAGTCTGGTCTGGTTCTGTTCATCATTGGGTGAGAGCAGTTCAATATTACTGGCTGTGGAAATCAGCGGGCTCATTATACTACAAGGAAAACGCCGTAAATAACGCACGCTTTTGTGCAATCAGAACGCTTTTTTTAAGGCGTCCTGTGGCAAGCCGAACGGCGTTAAAAGCGGCGCTTTTTAAACACTTTTTACGGTTTACGTGCGTTTTTTTACGGCGTCTGCCATCAGGATGCCGTATTTGACGGCGCTAATATTGTTTAAAACGCCGTCAAATACGGCGTTTTGTATGTAAACGCGATTTACCTATAGCGTAAATGTGATGCTCTTGGCTTGCCATATTAAAGCAGGGCACCCTCCTGCATTCTTAACAAACTCTGAGGTGTGCACAAGCGCATTTAGAGCGTCTATAATGAGCCGATTTTGGGTATGGATATAGAAGCCCTATGACTACAACTACCTTCATTTGAACTGTCATAAAATTATGAAATTATCGCACATTATGGGATTTTTTTCATTATTGATCGTACATCATACAGAGGTCAAAATTATCGTACAAATACGATAATTATCGTACGTCTGGCAACACTGATGTGAGTGTCCCCATAATGCATAACAATAATTCATTAAGTTCATTAAGATTTAAACATGTTGCAGAAACAAACAGACAACACTGCAGTCACTGTGTCGATAAACTGATCATTCAAAGAGATTTGAGCAAACATCTCTATTAGTCAACAGGTCTGACACAAGTCCAGTGTGAACGCTGCATTCAGTGTTGCCAACTTCTTTCAATGGAAAATAGCTAAAGCCAGTTTGAAAAGTCGCTAAATGTTGCTAGATGATGTCATGTGCTAATTAGCATATTAATGACGTCTTCGTATTTCCTTTTACATTTGTTTGCCTCTCTGTGCTGCTCACATACTGTATTTTAATTCAGCCAAATTCTCAATAAAACGGTTTTCATTTATATAATTTACTGTTTCTGTTGTCAGCAAACGGGATAAATATGAAATAGTGACTGAAATGTGGCCCTAGGGGGGCTAGGGGGGTATGAAAAGTCGTTAAATCTAGTGACATAGTTGCTAAGTTGGCAACACTGGCTGCATTGACTGCTGCTACACACACCTCACAATCTCTCAGGTGTTCATAGAGAGTAACCGGAGATCACACCTAATGCTAGGCGACGACAGGTACATAAAAAAATATAGATTAAACAATATACACAATTGTATCCCTCCATGTTATTGTCTCCCGCGCGGCGCCGCAGTAAAACTGAAGTGTCATGGCTTTACAGTGCGTTTCCCGCTCTATGATCACAGAGACGACCTGAGCTTCATTTCTTGATGACTTCTTCTTTGAGCTTCTCTGCCAGGTGTTTTGTCTTCTGCAACTTCTTCTTCTCTTCAACAGAGATTTCCTTGGAATATGAAAAAAAGGAGAAAACTGATTATTGGAAAGGAGGACTATCCAAAAGCAGCAGTGGAATGACAAAACTGCAGATTATCAGACAAGTGATAACAAATTAACACATTCAGCTGTGCCTTAAAGGATCATGAAGCACCGAACTACATTTCCTGAGATGTTATCAAAGTTATCAGTTCATGTTAATAGTGCTGTTTTCCTCTACAGACGCTCTAACGAGAGGATTTGCGAGTGTGCAGAAGTGGATTCAGACTCCAACAGCTCTGATTGGCCGCTGCATTCACGTGCTCTACTCTGATTACCCAATATATCCAGTACTGCAGAAAAGCAGACATTCAGGATCAGTTTGGTAGCGAAGTACTGGTGCTTCTGAA